CCCCCCCCCCACCTACAACCCCTGCCGGTACGAGACTCGAACCCGCAACCTTTTGGGTTACGAGTCCGACTCTCTAACCATTACGACTACGACTTCCCACGACTGTTGGGAGTAATGCGTTACAAAAGTAATGCATTACAGTAACTGATTACTTTTTGCTGTAACGCAGAAGTGTAAGGCATTACTAATCAATTTTCAGTAATATTTTACTCTGTACATGTTCAGTAACGCATGCGTTACAACACACTTTTAGCCCTAAATGTAATTGTTCAAAGAAAAAGAAAAACAGCAAGACCGCGAGGCATTAACGACTCAAAAATGCAGCAAGTTCCATTTCCTGTTCATGGTCAGTCAATAGTTGTCAATAGGTGTCCTAGTTTGTAAATAAAGACTAAACGACAGCTTCTGATATATTTGTTTGACGAGTTATTTCATTCTTCTCCCTCTCGCTGGTGGAACTTTGTATTGTGTGACGTAGTCCAGTGAAGGTGTGTTTAGGGCGGGTTTTACAGGAGTGCCGCGAGGCTACTGGCCCGACAGTGGAAACGCGGCATGATTTCGGCCTCTGTGCTCGAGGTCCGAGGCTATTAGCCCCACCCGGCTCGCTGTAAGCCCTGGCTCGCACTGGCCAGTGGAAAAGCGGCTATACGGTGAAGATGGCAGAAGACTGTACATGCACGAGATGGACGTATGCGCATCTTGCCATGGCATTAGAGTTTACATATAGTCCTGTTGTGTCTAATATGAATAGACCCAAGCTATTCACAGATATTGCCAGATAATCACTTTACCTCTACCATACTTTTAACAGACTTGGATCGTTTGTGATTCTGGCTGTCATCCTTTCTTGCATTGTCTTGAGTCTTCACTTTGCCAATTATAAGCTATATTGTTTGTAGCCTGGATAGCCCACAGTCATTATGCTACGCCATATCGCCCTCTATTGGATGTAAAATGCTCTGCAGTACATTTTGTGATTTTAGAATGTTAAGTATGGTAACACTTTAGAATAGGGAACACTTATTCACTATTAACTACGAATGTTTCCTCAATAAATTCCTAATTTGCTGCTTATTAATAGTAAGGTAGTTGTTAAGTTTAGGTATTGGGTATGATTAGGGATGTAGAATAAGGTAATATAAAATAAGGCATTAATGTGCTTAATTACAACTAATAAATGGCTAATATTCTAGTAATATGCATGCTAATAAGCAACTAGTTAAGAGACCCTAAAATAAAGTGTTACCTTAAGTTCTACTTCTGTAGTTATACAGGAGTCATGAAACGCATTACAATTCTGAGACAGTAATATTGTAAGGTAAGGAATTACTTTTAAATAACAGTAACAAGTAATCTATAATGTATTACAGTTTGGAAGTAACTTGCACAACACTGGCAATACATTATAAATACATTGTATATATATTCATTATATATTAATATTATATTTTAAATCATTAATAAGTGTATTTTGCTATGTATGATGAATATATTTAAGTGTATGAAAGATGGTTTCAATTGAAATACAAGCGGTAACAAGACATTTTTTTTTACTGAGAAAGTATGTTAAAAGCACATTTGAGTTCATATTCATGGTGTCCAAAAATAGCATAGTTGAGTACACTTGGATGTTCTTAAGATTATCTTAAGTACTAAAGAATATTTTTAGTATATTAAGAACAAAACTAGTGCATGAAAATAGAGTATTTTCCTAAGTACATTATGGAAGTGTACTGAAATGAAGTGTATTTTACTGCACTTTTTTTTCACCTGGGTATCCAATGATGGACATTTAGAAAGGTTCAATTTAGGTTAGTGAGCTCACATTGGCAGCAGGGATCTGGACAGCCATGGTTGGAGTGGGCATCAGACCGGTTGCACTCACATGTAAAGCCTGTGGATGGATGGGTCTAAGAGCAGCCTATTAATGACAATACACACAAATAAGTACTACCCAGCCACAACCATCTGCAGTACACACATAAAACAATACATTTTCTCATGGAAGTTAGACCTTGCTTCCCAATATTTATCAAATGAGTCTCAGTGAGTACTTACTGAGTCAGTAAAGCCAGACTGCTGATTGGCATGTTCAAGCTGTTTCTGGAGGGGGATACTAGCACTAGGGATGAATCCTGTAAAGTTCAATTGAGGAAAGAATGAATGATGGATCGATATTGTTGAGGTAGAACAGCACAATACTAATGTATGACATTTCTGGCCAGAAAAGCTGCAAAGTGAGGCTGAAATGTTTTAGAAAAAGCCGCATTAATATCAATGTGATCAATGTTATAAAAAAATGTAAGGGGGCTTCCTTACCTGGCTGGGTGGTGAAATGGCTGTGGACAGCATAACCTTGAGGCAGGAATGGCATGCTCTGGAATGGTGATGCCCCTACACAGAAAGACAGAGAATATGAAGTTGAGAATAAAGTAATGTTTTATTGTGACCCAGGAGGGCCAACTCACCAATTCTCTATAAGCGTACAACTTCTCCATAAACTAAATAAGCTATAAGCAAAGATTAAAGTGTGCATGAAATCAAAATGTACAATATTTACTTTGTTAGCGCACATTGCTAGTCAAGGTGAACAATTAGGCCCAATCCCATTTCTACCCCTTAGTCCTTCCCTTTTCCCCTACTCGTTTTGTGCGTCTATGTGAAGGGGGAAGGGGTAGGGGTGTCTCTACTCTCTTTTGGTTGGAGAGAAGGGCCAGAAAGCCCTTCAAATAAAGATTTTTCGGGACCACACTTCAAACGAAGGGGTATGAATTATCTCGGCATAAACCGGCTACAGCAGCAACATGGCTGCAACATAACTGTTCTGTGTGATGTGCTTTGATGTTATTGCTGTGTAACCGTTACACAGCAATCACATCAAAGCAATTAAACGTAAACACAGTTTGCATATCTTTCTTAGTTTGTCTGCATATATTCTGGCCCTGATAATCCTTACATATACTTACCCACTTGCTCCATTTCTGTGAATCAGTTTTTGTGAATGAATGACTTGCTGTACCTGTTGCTGTGGCTCAAACACTCACTTGCATCACCTGCTGACGATCGACTAACAGCAGATGGAAATTATGCATTGGTACTTTACTGTTATTCCTGCAGTTCCCAAATGTGTAATGCTGAATATTTTTGTCAACTTTGAACCACTGAATTTGTGTTAGCGAATTTGTAAAGCGAAATAAAATGGAAAAACCTCTTAGATATAATAGGTTGTATTTCTAAACAGACTGAATATTTTATATATTTGTAAGTGAAGTCTGGAAGGTAAATACGGATCATTGAATTTTTAATAATGAAAATGTTTAGGCTAGGTAAATCTGGGTATCATCAGCATAGCTGTGATAGGCAATTTGGTTCTCTCTCATTATTTGACTTAGTGGGAGCATATACTGGCTAAACAAGAGCGGTGCAAGAATTGAGCCTTGTGGGACTCCGCGTGTCATGGACGTCCATTAGTGGTCGACCGACATGTGTTTTTCAAGGCCGATACCGATTATTACAGATCAAGTAAGCCGATAACCGATATTTTGAACCGATATATATGTCTGGTGTAAAAATGAAAATTAATGTCAAAATTAAAGGGATAGTTCACCCAAAAATTAAAAATTTATGTTTATCTGCTTACCCCCAGGGCATCCAAGATGTAGGCGACTTTGTTTCTTCAGTAGAACACATTTGATGATTTTGATGATTTTCATTTTCATTTTTGGGTGAACTAACCCTTTATTATTGATCTTCTCAGAAAAGAAGGAAGCAAACTCATTGCATTTTCTCTCAGAAGGCATTTCACTGGGAATCTGACTTGGGGGGGGGGCTTATCAGTCTCTCAACAGTAGCAAAAAGAGTACAAGTGTTAGTTTAAGTTACTGTTTATAAGGTTTGAGAAGAAACTCTGTCTGGCTGTGGCTAGTTCCACATTGAAAGCATGAAGGCTGTCTTTATAGATGCTATAGTGAATTTCAAGTTTCGTCTTCAGCCACATCCGCTCAGCTTTACTGCGTTGTCTTTTTCATACTCTGTACTGCTGTTGATTTTCTCCAAGCTGATTTTTGTCTGCCAGTCTTCTTGCTGACTTTCACAGGAGCAATATCATCATAACATTCTTAACTTTTGAGTTAAAGGAATCAAGCAGAAGATCAAGAGAGTCTGCAGAAACGCTTGGTGGTAAAGATATAGCCTCCATAAATAGCACACTAGTGTTCTCGTTAATGCATCTCTTTCTGACAGAGACAGATCTAGATTCAGTGGTAGCAGAGATCAATATATCAAAGAAAATACAGAAATGATCAGATAGTGCTACGTCCTTAATAACAATGGATGAAATGTTTAGACCCCTACTGATGATTAAATCTAGAGTATGTCCACGATTGTGTGTGGGTTCAAGCACATGCTTAATCAGGTCAAAAGTGTTTAAAACGGTTATAATTTCTTTTGAAGTTTTGATTTCTGCATTAACTATGTGAATATTAAAATCCCCTGCAATAGCAAATATAGCTTATATAAATATAGCAATAGCTTAAACATACAAACATGTTGAATTTCAGCCCCTAATAATGCAAGCCCTGAAAATGCAATGCAAGCACTGTTAATACAATGCTTTTTTTCCAATTAATGCAATTCAACTTTTTTGTTTCAAATACATTTGTCATTATTTTTATCACATGTGATTCATGAAACACTCATATGCCGCCAATCTCATCGTACGAATGATCGCACGTTGAAAAATGTGGCGATAGAAAACAATCTTCATTTGAATATCACGCCCCTAAAAGCACCCCAGTTTAGAAGCCTCACCTCTAGAGTTTACGACACGGAGAAACGAAACCCGGCCAAATAGAGGAAGTAATCTCATGAAAGAGAAATTGATCTTACTCCAAAAACACCTGTTAACCTTGTAATTGCAAACAATTAGGCTACATTAATTTATGTAATTTTTATGAATATTAAAATACTGGTAAATATAAACAGCCTATTTAGTTCCCCTCACTCTACAACAAATATTTTAAATTTAACGGTATTCAGAACAGAACAAGAATGAAAAATAAGTAGTTATAAAATGATATATTAAACTATAAATTAGGCTATAGTGGCATTCATTATAAACAGCATACAAATGCCAAACAAAACTGAAACGTCTCATACCACAAGAATCCAAATGTTTCCATTTTTGCCAAATTTGTAACATTTGTTTGCATAACTATTATTCATTATGTAGCCTAAACATGGCTTTATACTTCATTCATGTTCTAATATCCATGTAAAATCCTTTCACATGCGCAAAAATATTTTAGTTTGATGATGACTGACGGAAATGTCAGGCAATGCTAGAACTAATGTTGTTTGTGTGCGTGTGTGAGGCACCTGTGCAATCAGATGGATAAAATCAAATAACGATATAAAGATAAAAAAAAATCCATTAAGAGTGTCACAAAAATGAGTGTAGCTTATACTTGTTGCACAGTGTTTTTTTTTTCTTTTGTTAATCTGTTAATTATATTATAGCCTATTATATATTTTGTGTGATCCTATTTATTTGATTCCTTTTATAAACTTAATTTCTGTTTTTCTGTTTTCATGATGTGACGATTGAATCCTAATGGTCATGTTTACGCTGCTATTCACGCATATAAAGCTAAAGCCCTGTATAAAACCAAAAAAAAAAAAAAACATTCTAATCTTACTGGTTAACGATCGACTAATGAGCTTCGTTTGATGGTCAGAAAAATAAAAATTAACAAAATGCTGCCATTCAACAATTCTCTACCATATTTACTATGCTGGGCGCAAGTTCAAGTAACTCAAAAATGTGCGTACACGAGTTGAGACCAGACGTGAGATTTGATCGTAGCCACCACTCACGTCCATATTGATAAATCCCAAGTTTTGCGTTGAAACGACCGTATGCCCAATTTTCTGTCGTACGTTCGTTTCGTAAATAACGCCCAGTATGTGTACATTCTCAATTGAGTGCTCAAAATATAATTTTTTTTTTGTGCTAATATGCGATGTGTACCTAGTGCAGCTTTAGGTTTCCAGGTAAATCACAATAAAGCTGTCTTACTGAAATAGTTCTGATAATTTGCTGTGAACTCACTCTTTCCTAAGAACGTGTCGATTAATGTAGACTGTCGTTGTTCTAATTACTTTGTTTAATAATAAAGAATGTAGTGTAGTGCACAGACTTTAAAATCATTGTGAAATTGTGGTTTATTTTGCTTTTGTCTGTCATTCTTCAGATATTGCAGTAGACATATTTTGGTTTACAAACTGTATTGTTTCATCAGTTAGTCACGTTAGCACTCGGCTAACGTATCCACCATTACTGTTTGTTTAACCCTTATCGCTTGCATAAGTGTTAAACAAAATGTTTTTTATGTCATTCTTTTAAGAACGGATTGGAGCACTATATTATTGTTTTATGTAGCTAAAGGTAGGACTCGCTGCTCAAGTATTCCTCTCTGTACCAATCACAACAGGCTTGGCCAGCTGACCAATCAGAGCAGAGTAGGCTTATGGAAGGGAGGGGATTTACAGACAGATGCTTCAAACGAACCATTTCGAAATCATTGACAAATGACTGAACATTAAAGCATGTCAACATATTCTGTTACACCAAATAGACAAAATAATGATCTTTAAAAAAGCATCATATGACCCCTTTAAATGTATATTCTGAGAAAATTACAATGTTTTCTGACCTTAGATTCATTTAAACCTGTTGTAGGGGACTCCAGCACAATATTAGGACACTTTAAAATACCATATGACCTGCTCTTTAAGCAATCGAATGTTTGAGGTAAAATAACCCTTGTATCATCTGAAGACTGTGGTTTACTAATGTAAAAAACATCTCAATGATAAAGTTTTGTTGTTACCTCTTATCTGGGTGGTGCCTGCAAAACTGATGGGCACAGAAGCAGCAGGTCCATAAGAGGTGTGATGCTGGGCCTGAGTGACAGCAAATGGCTCATGGATGGCAGTGCTACTCGAGAACTGCCCATACTCAGAGGAACCAGGGGGAAAACCTGGCTGGCCTGGGAAGTGATGGCCCTACACAAGACAACACTTTATGGATAAGTGCCAGATATGATCTATGAAGTAGTTATTACAGCAAAAATTTAATAATTGTAGCTGGAACACCTCACTGAATATGACAACACAGATCTTACAAAGCCACAATTTTCAAAAAAAAAAAAATTTTTGGTAACAGAAATTGAAGCTTCTCTGCATAAAATGTAACTCAGTTCCATTTTTTTTTGGCATTCCTGCATGTTACATGTGTTCGAGATTTATTTACTTACAGGCATCAGAGGTGTCTGAAACAGCTGTTTACTGCGCTCCCCTAATAGAGCACCAGCTCTATTGTGACTCACTGGACTGCCTTAAACGCACAAAAAACGCATTCTAAACATTGCATAACAGCATGGTCTAATTAAAAGAACAAAACTGTTTTGTTGTACTTATATCTACTATTATTTCCTTAAAAGTGATTCAAGGTCATTGTGGTTTTGCAAACTTCTAAAATGTCACCTTGTATGCTGAGTAGATGCTGTCCTGAGTGCAGAGTTAAGCTGGGCTGGTAACCGGCTGAGGGCAGTGTTGTAATATCACTAAAAATAAAAGAATATTCAAATAAACTTGATAAATACAAAGAACAAATGTACGAAAAATATATTATTTTAGCACAATAATTAAGCACACTGTCCAATATCAAGTGCATAATTGAGATCACAACTGTCAGGATTCTGGACTGTCTGTCGTGTTTTGCCCCCGTTTCTGTTCCGGTTTTTCCTTGTTTGGTCATGTTCCTGTCCTTGTTTAGGTTGATTATTATCCCATGCACCTGAGTTTCACAATTACCCCTTGTATTTTAGTTCCTGTCTGTGTGTTTCTCCCGTCGGGTCTACTCCTTCTGTACATGCGTCTACCCTCGTTCCTGTGTTGGATTACCCCTGTGTTTTGCTGATTAAAAGACCGTTTATTATACTCCACGTCTCCATCGTTCCTTTCGACAGTGTAAGTGTGATAACAACAAAGAACCTGACAGTTTACTTTTGCATTTTTCAGGGTTTTTTTCTTAATTTTACTTACCGTTGCTCCTTTCTTCTACGCTTCTCCTCCTCATGAAGCACTTTTTTAAGCTGTAAGAAGAGATGATGTTTCTCCTCTTGCAAAATCTGCAATTTTTCCCCCATTTTTTGAACCTAGTAAACAATTAAAAGCTTAATAAAAACATAAGACAATGAGCAAGTGCATGGAGACATGTCAAACTTTAGAGGTTCTGGAGTTTTTTTTTCTCCATTTAAAGCGGTCGTGAAATGGAGAATTAAAATGTTCTTGATATTTACATATATAAAAGGTTACTCTAAAATAAAAATCATACTGCAAGTTTGTTTCAGAACTTAAAACTCGGCAGTTTAAAAAATGAATTATTCTTTTCTATCATTTTGAAATTCCCGGATTTGAGATTCAGATAATTGTGATGCCATGATTCTTTTCGACACACCCCTTAACATGTGACATCATCGAATGTAATTGAGGAGGTGTGTTCTGAACAACTCATGTCTGTACATCAATCTCAAGAGTGATACTGCTGTTGGATAAAGATGATACCAAAAGACAAGTCCAACATTAAACTCAGAAATTGTTCTGTCAGTGGATGTAATGAAACTCCAAAAACTTTGCATAGTCTTCCTAAAGATCCTAGCATTAGAAATATATGGCTGAGGTTTATTTTTAATGACATGCCTGAGTATCTGAAAGATAAAGTTCTCATTTGTTTACAAAATGTTTTGTGAATTATTCTAAATGCAGTTTTTTCAGAATATCTTCTATTGAAATATAATAGTGTTGCCACTAAGCATGAAACATGCAACCAAATAAATGTTAAACTGTTGGCGAATTAATGGAAACAGTGTAATTTAAAAAAAATCCTAATTAGACTGCAGCATTTTTTGTAATACAAGTAATAACAGTACTTTAAAAACTATATACCGAAAATGAAGTAAGCAAAATCAAGTACCACGTTGAATCAGACTGTTGCAATCGTGGTTACATTTAGGGATGGGCATTTTTGGCGATTTCTCATTTCGATTATCAATAGGTTTCAAAAACGAGTACTCGGGGGTGGTGCGTGTACAGGGGGGTGGGGGATGGGGGATGGGATGGAGATAATGAAAATCTGAAGACTTATGAAAATTAATGTTAAAAAAATATATATGACATGAAAACCTGTCTATGAAAACACAAACACATGATTAGAACAGTGCTACATTATTGATTATGATGCAGCAATGTTTTAAAAAAAGAAGCATTTAAAAAGGAATAGCTGCATGAGGTGAAGCTGAAGAGTGACTTTATGCCAATAATCTGAAGCCCGTACTATGACACATCCTATGATATTAATCAGATAACTTAGATGCATGACATAGACGTAACATTACAACTTGTAGCTGCACAAATGTATGCAAATGCCAGTGAACTTTAAGTTACGAGAGAGAGAGAGAGAGCGAGTGAGTGAGAGAGCTCCTGCAGAGCTCCTGCTGTGATGCGCTTTTATAACAGCACGCTGAAACATGGGCAAGGAAAGCAGACAGAATTTACTATAGATTTCACGTTCTATAAAGTTCTTATTATAATGCTATGTTTATGGAAGATTTGTGGTAGATTTATCATCTACATTATCAAGTGATTCCCGAAATCGCTTTCAGAGCCATACGAATTACGAAAACAATTTTAACTGAAGTATGCCAACTGTTGAACAAATATGACGAAAAAAAGCACTGCTGCATTTAGGGATGCAACGATTATAGATTTTGTTGGTACGATTATGACGATTATTATGCATTTATTCATTTCCCAACATTACTAATGTATAAAATCACATGAACACTCTTTAGATATTAAAGTGTTATTTATTGCTGGCTTTTGAAACAGAAATAACACAGTAACCAACAATACAGCAAAAAATAATAATAAAAAAGACAAACAAAAGTGCATCTCTCCCATTGGAATTAAAAAAAGGTGACCTCTGCTCTGTAAACATCCATGACAGTATTTCTCTTTTGAAAATAACAAATGGAAATAGATCGCAAAAGTATTTAATGTTTTCAGTTTGTACATTCTTTACATTTCTTTTGGACCTGCGCACGTGTACAAACATTCAGGAGGACACAAACTTCTTGAGAATGCTGCCCAGTGACTTTTATTAATAAAATAGATTAAATAGCCTACTGGAGAGATGCACAGACGCAGGTAGGCTAATTCACACAGGCAACTGTTATAATTCATTAATTCAAATAAATGTGATCTTACCTCACTATTTCACCTCTTTCTGATCTGAAGCGGGCAGAATGCGGAGCTAACGAGCTGTAGCTTTGCGTCAGGTGGTTCTTGTCTTCACGCCATGCATTAAAATCGTTCAATGTACAGCAAGCCGTGCATTATCCCTTATGTATTTGCTCTTTAGCAGCAGTTTTTTTACAGCAATATTTAATTGACACCCTGGTCATTCTTGGTGTAGCCAAAATGGTCCCACACTATCGACAAGTATTTCTCTGGTGGAAATAAAGCTTCGCTGTTTGGTTCCTCTGTCAGTTCATCTAATGCATGTAGTAGCCTCCGTGCCTCTGATAAGCACGTAATTTTAAGCTGGTGCACCACTAGTGTAACTTCTTTCGTTTTGCGCAAGCTGCAACAGATCCGTTCCGTGTAACAGAAACACTCGGTTTAGCGGAACCTTTACGATTAATTAACCGTGACGTTTTAAAGCGCGGTTAATCGCAAAACCAGTTAATCGCTGCATCCCTAGCGGCATTATTATAGCATCAGTATTAAAAAAAAAAAATCTAAAAGCAATATGACCGTCTCAAATAACTCAATATCAGGCATTGCATTTGAGCATGATGAAACTAAACAATGGTAATATGCAGCGCATTCAGCATGTTAATAAATGTTAATATCCCAACACATGGGATGAATCTCACACCTATATTAGATTCATCAGATATGTATGTAGCTAACCCAGACATCACTACCTGACTTTGAAGCCATGCTTCTCTCTCTTCTCATCTATACTTTGGACCGCATACTGTGGCAAGAGAAACAGATCAGAGCTTAGGGTGCTGCCCAAAGTGCTGCTATAACCAATCAGGAAAAAAAAAATTTAAACCCACACGATCATTGTTTTCATGATCGATCGTCGCTGTCTCGGCCGAGTACTCGATCACTGTTGCACATCCCTAGTTACTTACGTTGTTTCAAGTTTGTCTGCCTCAGCCTCAAACATATGACTCTATCACAGTGTTTGCCATCTCAAGTATCAAAACACACAACATGACAGGGAGGGCGTGAATACAGTGTGTTGAAGTTAGCCAATCACAGCAGTGGGCATTAACTTCCGTTTCTGTAAGAGGTCATGGTCCTTATTTTTAACAGTGAAAAAGTGTATTAAATTTATTTGTTTTTATATATATATCAGATTTTTTGGTACTAAGAATTTTGCAAACATTATAAACTAACCTTGAGAAACATAATCTGAAACTGCATTTCATAACCCCATTAAAGGAACTAAAATGAACTTCTTTAGTATAATGGGTCCATTGCATAATCCTGAGGAGCTAATGAAGTTGTACACACCTGTTCTTTAGTTTCTTCCAAAGACATTTGCTCCTCCATTTCTTTAGTTCGTTTCCTTTCCTCCTCTTCTTTCAGTTTTTGTTCCATCATCTTATCCACTTCTTCCTCTTCTACAGTATGACAGAGTGAACACACACACATATGTATGTATATGTATGTGTGTATATATATGTATGTATATGTATGTGTGTATATATATGTATGTGTGTATATGTATGTGTGTATATATATGTATGTATATGTATGTGTGTATATATATGTATGTGTGTATATGTATGTGTGTATATATATGTATGTATATGTATGTGTGTATGTATATATATATATATATATATATATATATATATATATATATATATATATATATATATATATATATATATATATATATATATATATATATATATATATATATATATATATATATATATATATATATATATATATATATATCAAACCATCTTTATAAACATTTCAAACATCATTATTATTCAAATGAATTTGTTGCTATGTATACAAATTAGGACCAATCTTCTATATGATATTCTCACATAGATAATTTACTAATTTGCTGTAGAGTGAAAACACATGCGTACCTTGTCTTTTCCTCTCTCTCTCTTTCATGATATGCTTATGTAGGGCTCTGGCCATCGCATTGGACAGCTTTGGTCTCTCCAGTAGAGCAGGCATCGTAACAGGCAGTGGAGGAGCCAGCTGAAGACACATCATGGCTTATTATGTCTTCATCGAAGACTTTGACATAAATCCAACTTGTCTCTCTTCATAATAATAAACTTACTTTCGTATTTATGCAGGTTCTCCGCAATGATTTTCTTTGTATTCTTCAGAAATCTCTCAGAACTTAAGGATAAATATAGTAAATAATGTTTATGAGCGCCGTGATTTGCGTTCGTCTTACTCGTTTTCCTTCTTCTTCTTATAGCTTTACGGCGGTTGGCATCCAGCGAATTGGTGCACTACCGCCACCTTCTGCTCCGGAGTGTGTATCAGAGAATAGCCCTGCGTTCCATTCGGAAGGGCTCATCTCTATGTATGGAAGCCCGTTTCCGCCACTGAATAAAAAAATATAATTCTGTAAGTCATAATAATGAGAAACTTTCTCATAATTATGACTTAGTATCTCGTTATAATGAGAAACTTTCTCGTAATAATGACTAGTATCTCGTTATAATGAGAAACTTTCTCGTAATAATGACTAGTATCTCGTTATAATGAGAAACTTTCTCGAAATAATGACTTGGTTTCTCGTAATAATGAGAAACTTTTTCATAATAATGACTTAAACTAATAAAAAAACAAACAAAAAAACCCCCCCGACTTACTCGACGCCTGCGCAACGCAAGAGTGACAGCACGCTGGCGCCATCTGTTGGTCAAAGCCATGTAGGAACACCGCTAACATTGCTTTGTTCTGTAATCTAAAGTGTAT